GGTCCCTTCCAACCCCTACCAATCTGTGTCTGTGTGTGATTACTGAATTGCCTTGCAAGTGCTGCACTTCGTTAGTGACTGATTTGGCTAAATCAGCTATTCAAGCAGCATGCTAGACTGTCCAACCTGTGTTAGGACCCTACACTTGTGCCTTTGTTATGTTCCGGTAACACGCTGCTTGTCCAGATCAAATGAGCATTTGGTATCACTGGTTGAAAACCCCCAAATGTCACTTCTGACAGCTGTGTAACCAGAAGCCAGTAGTTTTGAGGCTGCCTCTCAGCAAATATCAAATTCATTTTCATCTTAAGGGCTTTTTTGGTTTTGCTGTCTTTAAGTTTACCTTATTGTAAATAATGGCAAATATTCCACTCATTTGTACAGTTTTAACTTGGCAGACAGCCAAAACAATGCAAGGCAACTGCACTGTCTCCTGACCTGCATGAAGACAGCGATGAAGGAAAACTTGCTTCAACACATACTGCTGGACAAAAGGAATGCCTGAACACAAGGTGTAGAAGTGCTCAGAGAAAAACGAAGTGGTACTTCAACAAAACAATTCAGGTCAAGGATAATTGCAGACCTTTTCCTGTTGTTTACTAAATTCTATTAAGTGTTTCTCATATTCTACAAAAGATTCACTGCTGCTTGGTCTTGTTTACAAAACAGTGTTTTTCAGCGAGGCTAAGGTTTAAATGCCTCCTGACAAATTCAAGCATTCTCATGGCTTCTTGCTTGAAAAAGGTAAATGCATCAACCTCTATAAAGCATTCAGAGTTCTGAAATTTCACAGATCTAAGTTCTAGCCTGCAGTTTACCTGGGCAATTGGGCAATTCTATAGCTACACTATATAACACTGATTAAAGTGCTTGGCTATTGATAAGAATACATCGTTTCACAAAACACTTGATAAATCCCATTAGTTTCTTTAAGACTTGGTTCAGGCTTCCTTTGCTTTCAACTTAATAGCATCAAGTAGTCTAAAACATAGGAGAAAGCTTATACTTTGCCCTGTATCATCACATGCTGATTCTCTCCTAATAGGACATCCTGTAATTTTTTTCTTCAAGTCTCCACCCACAGCAGCGAGTGAAGTAACTTTTAAAGTGTTCATTCAAAACTTTAACAGAACATTTGCATGCTACTGTCATTCTCTAAAGTTGAGAGAAAACTCTGTAAAGAAAACAGTACCTCAACATGGTAAAATAACTTCAATCTACTGCTGTTCTATTTTACATCATTTGGTTAGAGCAGAACAGATCCTTAGCTCAGTAAGGTTATTAACTCACTTCTTACTGCCAACTTCATCCTTATCATTCTTCTCCTCCATGTTCTCTCTGTTGTTTTGTGACTGGCTGGTGTCTTGAGCTTCAGATCCTCCATTCAGAACCTTCGAACCTTTAAAATGAAAGGGCAGAGAAAGAAAACTACTGCAGGCAGTCAAAACCGTGCTATAAAAAGCCCCAGATAGTTTCTTTACCTTCATCAACTCAAACACTATAAATGTTTTCCCCTCATCTTGATACCCAGGCAGCTGAAACAATAAAAAAAGCAGTAACTGATATGGCTTCAACTTCTGAAAATTCCATGCAGTGAGCCTCATCCCATGATTTTAATGATGTGAAATGAAAAGTGTATATAGTTCAGGCAATTTCAAGTTCTTCTTGTACTTGCCAGGCTACAGATAACAGGATTAATGGTTATTTATATTCTAAGCAGTGAGAGAATATACTTCAGCAGTAAATTCTGTTTACCACTCTAATCTGGTCAGACAATTTGGGGAGATTTCTGATGAAGTTTCAACTGGAGAACTTACTAGTTCCATGGAATCTCATTTACTCTCAACTCTAACAAGCATGTGTATAATCCAAATATGACAAACAGTAAAAGTGTTTAGTTACACTATACAATTGTCAAGCAGGAAAACAAAGCACTATGTAAAAGCTGTATTTAGTGAAGTCAAAGCAGGAATATTTAACCTCTTCAAAATTTCTGTGATGAATACATGTTTTTCTCTGGTATTACAAGGCAGTGAGTTTTGAGTAAAGTGACATTCCTCAACAATTCAAGTCAGAACTAACAGTCCATTTTATTGGAAGTTACAGGTTGACCAGAAAAACCTTCTATTAAACTACTGTGCTACATCAAGAAAAAAAAAAAAAAGACATTACTTATCTGAATACTTACAGGCTAAGAGATGCTAAAAAGCAGACAAGATTATCTTAAGATGACATTCTAGTAGTTGGTCTATGTAGACTTGCTCAGAGTTAGTTCTGATCTTGAATGCCACGGGAGGAATTCAGTGAAACAACTAATGCTCTAATCCCTTGTTACAAAGTAGATAGCCTGAAACTGTACTTCAGCTGAGTACAAACTGCTGTAATTGTTGTGCTTCATAAAGCTAGTAAGAGTTCAGCAGTTCAGTTTTTAAAAGGACAGAAGTATGGACGTAAGGAACTACGTAGCAAATAAATACGTATTTGTAGCAAATAAATACGTATTTGTAGCAAATAAAAGAAAAATCCACTTCCATGAAATATTCATCTACTCTGATAGAAGTTCTTACCATTCTCCATTCAACTAGGCAAATTTCAGTGTCCTCTCTTGAAGTCTAGTGCTAACCTTATCTGGAGTAGCTTCAGTAGTCAGACTGTGTAGGAAGACTTTCAGTTTAGATTCTTTGTTAAAGTATTAGCTGTGCTGTTCCGTGGGTTGGAGAAAAGATGTGGAACTCATGAATACTTCTCTCTCCATAAAATGGTTGGATTTTATCATCATCCTGCTTTCTTAGCAGATACAAACACAGTGGCATTTCAATGATTCTGAATCCTTGCATCCTCAATCATCTCAGTTGCAGTAACTTATTTCAGATCCAGGTGCTGTAACTTTCAAACAGTTTTCTGAAACAGTTTTGCTCCCAGGATTCAAGTTCAAAGTAAATATAATTTTTCTCCAGTGCTTGTGGAGACCAAGGATCTAAATAATTTTAATAGATGGGTAGACATCTTCAAGGATTTATATTCGTTTGCAACACAGCTTTCCAGTGTCTCTGTCTCATTTTGTTCCTCTACTTAAAAATGCAAATACCTATTTTACTATTTCTTTTTTTTTTTTTTAAAATAACTGACCTAAGTTATTGTAGAGCATGGTTATTATGGAAAGCTTTCAATATCATGCTGCACTTGTGCAAATGCTCATGATTAATCTGGAATAGTATTGCTAAGAGCACAAAAGCCTATTCAACCCTATATGGTGATTTCTTTCCTGTTAGACTGAACTACTGAAGTTGCATCACAGAAATAGCATGTAAGTAGTTAAAAGCTGCTGCTATACATGTAGCATGCACGATTATAGGAACAGGCTAGTGAAGGACATTAAGCAGTTAAAGCATAGGTGGAAGTCTAGGCACCAAAAGGCTACTTGAGGAATGGAAGGCAGTATGTTATTCTACCTCATGTTTAATGGGTTTTTTAATTCCACAAGGTAATAAAGTTAGAAAATTTATGGAGAAGTAAAAAATGCTAAACTCAATTCTTGCAAAAGCCCTTCCCTTCAGACAACAAAGGTAAAATAGTGATGGAAAACATTATACCCTTAGACTTGAAACAGGTACAGCAGTATTATCCCTGACTATTTCAGATACGTAAAGGTTTTACTAGATGGGTAGAATTCCTACATCAACGAGTTTGTTGAAGCTTGCTTAAAAATTGATGGAAACTAGGTATTCTGTATAACAAAACTAAACCAAAATCACAGTGACTCACCTGTTTGGTCCTTTTCTTTTTCCATTTTTTTGTTTGCGCCTTTCTTCCACTGTTCTTTGGTTTTGTTGGCTTCCTCATGCTGCTTCTGCTCAGCAAGTGATTTATTCAGTACTTGGGAAAGAACAGAATCTCCTTCCCCAACCAGAAACATGGTCTTGAACTTGTTATATAGCATTGTAGATTTCTCCATGATAACTTGGCTAACTTTGAATTTCCGTATCTGAAATCAAAGTAATAAAACAATGAGTTCCACTTAGATATTTAAATACCTATGTAATTTCATCATGTGCTAGATGAAATTCTTAATTTAACCTGAAATGACATCATAGACTTCTGCAATCTCTGGAGTACCACAGAATAGCCCAGGTTGGAAGGGACTGTGAAAGACCATCTGGTCCAACCCTTTGTGGGAAAGGGAGCCTGGATGAGATTATCAAGCACCCTTGAAAAACTCCAGCGATGGGGACTCTACCACATCCCTTGGGAGGTTGTTCCAGTGAAAGATCATTCTCACCGTAAAAAAATTTCTTTTTTTGTATCACGATGAAACCTCTCCCAGTGCAACTTGTACCCACTGCCCCTTTTCTTATCCATGTGGCTCCTTGTGAAGAGAGAGCCTCCATCCTCCTTCTGGCTGCTGGAATACCGTGATGAGGTCCCACCTGAGACACCTCTGGGAAGAACAAACCTAACCCCTTCAGTCTTTCCTTATAGGGCAGGTTCTCCAGCCCTTTGATCATCTTCATGGGCCTCCTTTGGCCCCTCTCCAGTCTTTCCGCATCGTTCTTGAATTGTGGGGACCAGAACCAGACACAGTACTCCAGTAGTAAATAACGCTGATACCAGTTTAAGAAAGCATACAGGTTACTTTGATTAAGATTGCAGATCTCACCTTCTTCAGGGTCAGAATCATCTCTGTATGTTTCTGAGCTTGTTGCATCGTGATTTGAAGGGATGCAAGCTCATCAAGAGCCTCAATACACCTGTTCACATCCTATATATAAACAAGAAATTAGTTTGAAGACTGAACTTTTATGTTAATAATCCTTAGCCATACTAAATTAATTTCCATTCTCAGTGATGCCTTCCTATATTCCTTTGACTATGTAATGAATTTTAGAACAATTTCTACAAACTTAGAAACAAAAATTGCTATCAGTGGCCTTTCAGCTACTGCCATAACAAAAGGCCAATCTGAAGCTTTATGCAGCTTTCACAATTCTATGCTTGAAGCTGTTCTCCCTACTCAGCCTTTTCCATACAGAATTTTTCCCAAGTGACTTGCCACTGAGAAGGTAGCAAAGCATCTTAAGTGGACTGCAGTTAATATATAGAACTGTATCTTTGTAGATTCTTCAGTTAAAAGTTTGATGAATGACACACTATGCAGGATATCCAGAAGTAATGATGTAGCTTCTGATCCATTTCTAAGAGCCACTGTACTAAAGTCAGCTCCTTGATCACCTGTGTTAGGAAGTTACCACACTCCAGCAGCTTCCTGGATTGCTGTATAATCCCCATGCTGCCCCTCTGGTAGATACCGGGATGGTTCAAGCCTCCAATCAGGAGGAAAGCCTTTGAACCACAGGTGTGTCCTGATTGCCTGAAGATGACTTCATTCTCTACTTCTGCCTGATCAGGTGATCTGCAGTAGACACCCTCTATTGGTCTGCCCACTAATCCTGACCCATAAGCTCTCAATTGGCTTATGATCTGTCCCAATGCAGAGATCCACACATTCTCACTGGTCTCTCATACAAGGAGTTATCCTGCATTTTGTCTTCCTAGCACCCATCTTTCCTAAAAAGCCTGTATAAATACACGGCAAGGTTCCAGTCCCATGAACTATCCCACCAAATCTCTGTGATGCCAATGAGATCATAGCCCTGCAATTGCAGACAGATGTCCAGTTCCTCTGGTTTGTTCACCATGCTGTACGCATTAGTGTACAGCCACTTCAAAGAAGCACCCCGTTGTGCTGACTTTCCAGAAGGGTTATAAGAGCTTTCCTCATAATGTTGTGCTGCCAGCACTTCCTTATTTCTGTGCATATGCTTGTGGTGCTGCCACTTCAGTCCTGTTCTGTTGAGGAGTTCTGTTGATTACAAGGCCAACTCTGTTTACATCACCCTGCTCCACCACTTCTTCACTTTCTCCTCCACAACTGTTTCTAGTTTAAAGCTCCTTAACAAGGCTGGCCAGCCTCTTGGCAGCACTACTTTTGGGTGGATTGTGCCGCCTCCTAGTAGTCCTATCCACTCCTTCACAAGTTCTTTCCTCAAGAAAGGGACCACCACCTGGGTCCCCATACTTTGACCATCACCCTCAGAGTCACAGTCATGCTTGATACTTTGCAAGCCTCCCCTGAATGTATCGTTGGTACCCAACATAGAAAACCAGCAGCAGCTAATTCTTAAGGCCTGACAAGCCTCAACCATCTGTCAGTAAAGTTCCAATTCTGAGCCCCCAACAAGCAGCAGACTTCCCTTGACAATGAGTTAGGTCAGCAGATGGGGGCCTCGATCCCTTGCATCTGCCACAAGTACATTCATTGTGTCCCTCTCTGGTGCTTCTGCATGGCTCAGGCAGAGCTGGCACAGCTGCTTCATTTGACAAAATTCTGCCTGAATGTTTCTGGTAAATAATTTATTATGAAGTAGTTTCAAACAAAACCAATTTCACTTGCTGACATTGATCTTTTAATATCCATAGTAACCTCATTTAAGCAGCAGTTACTTTCAAACTGAAAAAAAAAAATCTGTTCATTCTCAGAATATTAATTAAAAACAAACACACATGCTAAGTATTTCCTACTAGAATTATGCATATAAATCAGTTTAAAAAAAATACTTACAAGATTATCAATTTTCAGGGAGTTCTTAATTTCTGCATGTATCCGTTGAAGCCTAGAATCCATTGATGTTTCTGAAAATTAAAAACAGTATGCATGAATATTTGATAACCATATCAGGTTTGTTTTTATAGAAACCTTTCTACAAATGTTAACATCATATAGAAAGCAGAAAAATATGGGCAGGTACTCTACATCACATAATGATGCAGGTGCGCACATAAATACACAGGGCTTACTACCAAAAACAAAGTATGCAGCTTTTAAAAACTGGACACTGTAGGTAACCTACATAGTTTTCTCCTTAGGAGTTACAAATTGAAAATAATTTTCTATTTCAATATACAGCTGTCATCCTCTGCTTGTGGGACATTTAAAAGGAAGTTTCAATAAATACTAAGAGTTACAAAGCTGGGAAACCTTTAACGACAGGACAGCTAGATACTGATGGTTTTGTTTTCAGTAAATTGGACGTGATTCAAGCTACAGTCCAAATCCATGCAAATAAGAAGTTCCCAGTACACATGCTCCAGCAGGTGTGCAAGATGAATGAAGACGTCCATCTCTAATTCACATGCTGAATGCCTGTTTGGATTTTTTTCATACACAAGTGGCATGTATTCTGAATAACACTGCAAGCAAAGAGAGTTTCCTTCAAGTCCAATCCATCTGGGATGGGTTTGGCTATTTTCTTCCCCCCTGCCAACACTGGGTTGGTTGGAATCCATGACACTGGATCTGTATGATACTACAAACTACAGCCAGTGGTTTGGATTGCACTTAAAGATGTAAGTACTAAAAAAGGAATGACTTATCACTATGAATGTCAGTCTGCAAGTGTGGGTTAGTAGACAAGCCCTAAGCGTCTTGCTTAGCACACCTCCTGCTTAGTAAGAGCTAGTATCTAAATACTTTCAAGAGGTCCCTCAGATTACTGTTATGAGAAGACAGAAAGGAAAAAATGAAGGGAAGAACTAAAGTGATTTGAATCAAAGAATAAGAGCTTTTTTTTTTGTTCGCAAACAGAAGGGATCAATTGAGGTTTAAAAACTCAAATGACAGTGAAATGGGACTAGCAAAGACCTGTTCTAATGCACTGAAGAAAGAAAAAACAGAGAAGAACAAGAATGCAGTGCTTCACAGATTTGAAGGAAGAAGTCATGGATCAAGACCTCTGACGGAGACCCCACAGCCACTCTTAGCAGTAAATTATCTTATCCAGACAGGTAAATCTGTTCAAAATTTAAGATGACCAAAAATACTATTTAGCTTCTTTAAACTAACCTCTTTTCTTCTCCATCTTCTTAACTTCTGCTTTCTTGCCTTCTTCTTTACCCTGCCTATCAAAAACATTAAAGTACTTTTATAATGTTGTAAAGTATGTTTTTCAGTCTTTTTTCTTCCCAATTTTAGATGAGACCCAATATTATGAGGTAGTATCTCAGCAAAACATTAGCATGCAAAAAACATAAAGAGCCAAATCCTGGTTTTTCAAAGACTGAAATAAGTTTACAAAAAAGGTTAGCTAAGATATTACTGATAAATCTACCATACTGACAGACAATTTTCCCTAGAAACAGCAAATTAAAGGATTTTTAAAAACAAACTGTATTTTGTTTTGGCTGGATGTACAAATTGGTAAAATGGTATTGTATGGAATGAACTTATGGAGAAAGAAAATGCTTCATCATAATAAAAAGAGTCAAACTATTTAACATCTTGGGGAATTACAGAGAGATCAATTAGTCATAATCAGTTCCTATGCAACTTATTTTCTCATATAATTAATTGTAACAGTATAAGTATCGTATAACCGACCATAAATGTATCAGCAATAATTTAAATATTCCTGAAGCAAACAGGGATAAAGGAACAAGATTTATTACAAGTTCATTCAAATCTCCTGGTTCTTTCTCTAATTTTATCTTTAAAAATAAAGCTAGGATGCAAGAAAAACAACCCAAAACTCGCCTCCATCTCAGTTACAGGATGAAGACAGAAGATTTTCAAACAAGTTTTTGAACTCTATTCAGAGAGGATCATGAACCCGGCTTAGAAATTCCTCAGTCTTGTCTTACTGAGGGGTTTTAAGTCTCATTTTAGAATTTGCACATTTCAGCACACCATGACTAAATATTCTGTGACTAATTTTCTTCCTGTCGTAGTAATATGCATCCATAAAACGTCCAGGCCTGCATGTCTACCACTTTCCATGTTCCTTTCATACTCTATCCAGTTACAGAATCAAAAGTTTTAAAGTACACAAGATTGTTTTACTTTAACCGGCAGCACAAGCTCGTGCTGTTTAAATGGTATATGTAAACTTTGTGTCTGTACAGAACAGCATGCAAACCACCATTATTAGATTTGAATAAATATTAACAAAGTAGCTACGAAGACCAGAAAATGGAAACTATGCTGATAAGAAAAGTAACCAAAAAAAATATCAGCCCATATTCAGTGTATTAGTAGAGGAACCTGAAGACAGCACAAAAATAAGTCTTTTTACTTTTTATCGAGTTTTGTGGTATTAGTCATCAGCTGTAATTAAATTCATTATGCATTCATTAACTACTACTTCATCTTACTGAAACAAAGCTCTATCTACCCTCCAATACATAAAAATACAACAGCTATTTAAAAGTAGAGGAGATTTTGATTATTGTAACCAAATCAATATATGACAGTTTGATTGCAGAAATCAATCAGAATGTGTCAGATTTAAATAGTGATTTATTAAGAGCTACAAAGATGCTACGAACAATTTAGTCTCTCTGGAGTTGGAAACACTTAGGTTTGCTACAAACAAGCAAAGTAATTATGGTAGGTTTCCAGAGAAGGAGTGGCAGGAAGAAAAGGAGAAGAAAGGGCCAGCGAATGAAAAACCCAAACAAGCTAGATTCTTGTTAATGAACATGAAAAAGATAGAATCTTTTTGTTACAGGTGAAGAGACCATTATCCTCCTCCATCTTCTCTGAATTTGTACCTTGTTCTCCCTTTCTTCTGCCCTCCCATCAACTGTGGGGATGGGAACATTATGCTCTTGTGGTAGTGGTTTCTTCACCCATTTGCAGAATAGCTCTTGAGAATGAGTCAGACTTCTTCCCACTGTGTCCTTGTGTGTCCCCCCCGCCCAGTTTCTGGCAGGATCTTCTCTCCATTCTTATGCGTGATTCATTTGTGATAATTTATCTTCCAAATGCAGACTGCTCTTGGTATCACTCAATTGGCTTTAAAATGCTACAGTAGAATAATTCTTAATTTTCTCCTTGTTCTGTCTAACAGTTCTAACAGCTGCCAGACAGAGAAGGAAATGTTTTCCAGGTAACCCTATGCATTCCACAACCTGACCAAAAAAATCCATGACCATGGATTAACAGATCCTTCCAGATCTCAATCTAATGCACCCAAAATGTAAAGAAAAATATATGGCTGTCTTGAACAGTTTTTCACACTGATTACGTTTCACACAGATATTCTTAAGTTACTTCTAAACAGAACTCACTTAGCTGTCTTCTGCTGTAAATTAAGTCACTTAAAGACAGACATTGCTTAATTTCTATGTTCAATTCCTCCCATCCTCACACAATATAACATACTGGTTTAGAGGAACTTTTTAAGTTTTGTCTAACTTATTTTAAGTTAGACAAAAAAAGGGTGGGAGGGGAGAGAACAACAGAACATAGTGCAAACCAGTTTGTAATTTTTTTTCAGATATTGTCTCTTCCTGTTAGTTTCAGAGTAGTCCTACAACCTATGGACATTGCATGTTAAAACATACTCACGATTCAGATTCTGTCTGTTCCTCTTGCTTACGCTTTCTTTCTGTTGCTTCTCTCTCATTCTGGCCTTTTACAAGGTTTCTTTTATGAGCTGCCTGAAAGCTTCTTCCCCCTTTTTTCTTCTGTTTTTATTTGGGATTTTAGGATTCGAAAGAGGAAAGCAAGATTATTAAATCATTATTTCTGTAAAATGTAAAACCTACCTACACTAAATATCTTTGAAGCAACTCTGCTCCATGGAATTACCGGACAAGAACTGGCTTTCCCT